CTCAGGGAAGACATGGCCTGGGGTGGAGCCTTCTGCAAGACACTTCTGTTTCTTTCAGGGGGCAGCCAGGATTGGCTACTGCTATCAGGTAGCGGGAGAGGCAGAGGGGGGTGAGGAAGTGTAAGGGGGTGTAAGGGGGAAGGGTTGGGCAGAATCCTGGGTCTGAGGGAGGAGGGGACTAGAGGCCTGGGTTGCGGGTCCCAGGGGACAAGGGTGGGCGTTCCCCGTGAGATCCATGACTCCTGCCAAGGTCTGCAGTTGGGAAGCATTTATTATAACTAAGTGGCCATGACAGAGCAGGGAGGAGGGAGGTGACACTGAGGCTGCCACAATCAGTCCCCTAGAGGCAGTGATTAAGGGCTCATTACCAGCGGGGTCAGTGAGTGGGTGGGAGCTTGGAAAAGGCAGCAGGGAGAGGAAGGAGGAAGCTCGGACACTCCCAAGGGGGAAGTTGAGGCGGGACCCTCCCGGGAATGATTGTGAAAAGGGCTGGTTCCAGGGAGCAGGGGAGACATAGCAGACGGGGGCTGGTCACGGCTTCTCCAGCTGGACGTCTCCGATGTGGAGGCTGCCCACGTCCTGGTAGGTGCCCTGGAGGCCCCGGGAGATGTCCTCGTACATGGAGCAGTCATCAAGGTTCAGGCCCTGGAGTGCACATGTGGTGGTGGGCCTCAGTGTCCTGATGCCTGGGCCCCTACCCCAGAGGACCCCCATGAGGCCCCCAACGCACCTGCTCCTAACTTGTGCCCACCCTCCACTCACCTCATAAAGATTTTCATCTTCGTAGTCATCCCGGGTGTCCACTCCGAACTTCATGTTCTGCCATCGTTTCTGTGGGGGGTGGGAGTCTCAGTGGGTAGGGGGTATGTTTTCAGGCCCTTCTAGATGTCAGAAGGGCTTTCCCAGAGCCAGTAAGGGACCTTGCTCAAAGGCACAGACAGTACTGGTAAGTGGCACGGCTCTCTGGGTCCAAGCCAGTGTTCTTTTGGCTGTCTCCACTGCCCAATTGTTCTCCATGAATCACAACATCAGTAGTAAATAGCTATGGTTGCCCTGTGGCCTAAAGAAACTGCAGGTCACAGCGGCTGGGAGGATCCCCAGCCCCCATCTTCCCTGGCCTTGGCTACATCTGGAGGGCTACAGCACTCCTGTGTTGGGGAGAGTAAAGCACCCTGAGGGGGTGGGGGGTGGGGGTGGGGATAGAGTGAGAATATCCCTAGAGAAGGGCAATGATGACAGCCATGGGGAGACTGAGCAAGGGCAGCGCCCCCAGCACCATGTAAAATCCTGTCATTGTATTCATTTGTTTACCACCCGTGTGCCCCTGTGTGTGTGTGTCGGGGGGAGGGCTGTCATTCTCCCAAGTTTTGGCGGGGACCCTCAGACTCCAAGGGCCTGGTCCCAGGTGGCTCACCCTGAACAGCAGCAGTGTCCCGGGCACCACAGCGCAGAATAGCAGGATGATCCCCTCCGCTGTGATGATGTTGTTCTTGGTGCCCTCCCCCATGTCCAGGAAGGGTCTGGGAGCCGGCTCTGTGAGAAGGGGGTGCTGCTCAGAGCCCTGGCTCCTGGCCCTCTTCCCGGCCCCGCCCCTAGCAAGGCCCCACTGAAGCCCCCACTCTGCAGGTGAGAAATGGGTAAGTGTGTGGGAGCCGGGAGCAAGGATGCCCATGATGCAGGCACTGGCTCCCTCCCCACTTCCCAGACAGGAGGCCTAGAGTCCCTGGCACTCACCACGCACACGGAGGTAGGTGCCACAGGAGCGCCATTCCGTCTTGTTTTCCAGAGCATGGCACCTGTATAGGCCTCCGTGGCTCTTGTTCACCGATGAGATGATCAGCTCACCATTGCTCTGGCCCCAGTCATGGAACTGAGCGGGCCACGTGAAGTTGCTTTGGAGAATTCGCCACCAGGTGACGTTAGGGCGGCTGCCGTTATGCAGGCATGGGAGGCGGGCCTCCTCCCCCAGGATCACCGTCACCGATGGCGGGCCCCTATCTACCCACAGGGTCTGGCCCCCTGGGCCTGCAAAGAGGCAGGTGGCTCAGGGACTGTGGATGGGATCACAGGCCCCAGCCCCAGCCTCTGCAGCCGCAGCACTCCTGCGTGTGCGGGGGGGAGTATGAGGACCCTCCTGGGGGAGGAGAGGGAGGTGTGGGGCACAGAGGACACACGGTGTTGGGCAGGGAGTGAAGGGGCACCTAGGGAAGGAGAGAAAGGTAGCCCTGAGAAGAGAGAGGACATACCTTGGGGGGGGGTGGTTTGAGGACGTCCTGGGGGAGGAGAGTAAGACACCTGGATGGTGACACAGCCCCGGGTGCCCGCTCTCCAGTGCCACCTCTTGCATTTGGATACTTAGTTCCCTGGTAGCAGAGGGCCCCTGCCCAGGCAGCGACTTCCAGAATCAGTTTGGGCATCACCTCCTCCTGAAGGCTTTCCTGGCCCCAGCCCAGCCCCACACTTGACACTATCTTTCATTTTCAAAAAACCCTTAGAAGAAGGTTCTCTCCTTATGCCATTTTTCAGGTGGGACAGCAGAGGCCCAGGGCAGCAGGAGTGGGGAGGAGGGGCGCTAGGGGAGGGCAAACACCAGGCCTCCTGGGCCTCTTCCTGCTGGTGTTGGGTCTGCCTTGTCTGGTGTCTCTGAGCCCACCCCTATTCTCTGTAACGTGCACGTGTCAACCTGGGGGTCAGGGGTTGAGTTTAGTCCTTGGGCTGGGGGTTAGGGGAGCCTCTCGGCAGTGTGGGTGGTTAGAGGGAGCTGGTGGCCCAAATGCGCGTGTTCCCCTCCCCCCCCCCACCTCAAGCCCCAGCTATCAGAGCCAGTCCGTATGGCTGCTCCCCCTCCTCTGGGGAGGGAAGGAGGGAGTTGAGGAAGAGACAAGAAGGAAGAAGTGGGGCAGAGGCAGCAACCTCAAGGTCAGGGGCTCCATTCCTGGCTCCCAATGTAACCTCGCGTGACCAGCTGCCTTTCTGAGCTCCTGGGTCAAACAGGTGGTCATAGCCCTGACAGCTGGCGTCGCTGAGGGAGGATGGTATCATGAGGCACCCCACCTCCAGCACGGAGAAGGGGCTCCCTGTGCAGAGGGTGACTGGGATTCCAGGCAGAGAAAGGGAAAGCTTTTTCTTCACTCTGAAGCTGAGTGCACCCCAAGGTCCCCTCCTGCCCCCAGCTCTGAAGCTCAGTCAAGGGCAACCCTAGTTCCTCATTTTGACCTGAGGGACAGGGTAGGGAAGGCACTCTGGCTCCTGCCTCCCTCCATGAGGCGGCAGATGCCCCTTTAACATCGCTGAGCCCCCTCCAGCCTCCCCGAGGCCTGTTTGGAACAGTCAAGCCCACAGACAGATGCAGTTTCTACAGAGGCCTTTCCCAGTTCCCCTCCTGCTGTCTCCTCTCTGCCTGTGCCCTCTCTCCAGCCTCCCCAGTCCCTCCTCCTCTCCCAAGTACCCGCCTGTTAGCCACATACCCAGGCCAGCAGCGGAGATCAAGAGGAAGAAGATGATGCCAGGCGGCGGCGGCGGGACTTGCAGGACTCCGGAACCCCCAGGCATCTTCTCCCAGTGGGTTGGTTCGTCTGGCTTGCAGCAGTCCTGGGGTACCAGATCCCACCTCCGCAGGCCCCAAACCCCACCCCACTTCCTGCCCAGCCCTGCCGGAGATGGGCTTCACTGGCCCCACTGCTGGGCAGCTCCTGCCAGTGTGCTTCAGATGTGAGCTGAGAGGAACTGCTCCCTGCACCTGTGGTGGCCGCAAGTCCCCTGAGGGGAGGTTGCTTGGGTGGGGGAAAGAGGCTAGTTCAAGGTTTGGCTCCTCATTGGGTGCCTGCTGTGTGCAGGCAGTCAAGGCAGTGACTCTGAGCTTTCTTAGTCGTAGTCCCTACTGGCCTTGGGCAAAACCTGTGCCCAGCCTGAAACTCTGTGTGCTCCCTTCGTCGGGTTGGAAATGAGGATTTAAAGGCAAGGCGTTGTGCATGCACAGCACTGAACACAGCACCTGTCACATAGTAGGTGCTCAGTAGTGTTGGTTGTTGTTAATGTTCATGAGGAATAAATGAGGCATGCCAGCGGGCTCTATGAAGGGAAGTGGTGGCTTCCCTTTCCAAACCTTTTGTTGTTGTTACTCCTCACCCGAGGGTATTTTTTTCATTGATTTTTAGAGGGTGGAAGAGAGGGAAAGACAGAGAAATATTGATGTGAGAGAAACACACCGATTGGTTGCCTCCTGCACACGCCCAGGGAGGAACCTGCAACCAAGGTACGTGCCCTTGACCAGTGCCCTTGACCAGAATTGAATCCAGTACCCTTTGGTCTGCAGGCCTACACTCTATCCACTTAGCCAACCCAGCTAGGGCTCCATTGATTTCTTTAGAGAGAATGAGAGGGATGGAGAGAAAGAGGCATGTGAGAGACACATTGATTAGTTGCTTCCCAAACTTGCCCTGACTGGGGCAGGGGATCAAACCAACAACCCAGTTACGTGACTGGGAATTGAACCTGTGACCCTTTGATGTAAGGGCCGATGCTTTAACCACTGAGCCACACCAGCCAGGGTAAGCCTTGGCATTTTTAATCCAAGAGACTAGGATAACTCTCTGTTGTGACATGAGATGTTCCTGGTACCCAAGGAATTAATAGCAATGATGGGCTCTTTCTTGGCATTCTTTCACTCAGCCTCCCAAGTGTCAAGCCCCTCTTTTTACAGAGGAGGAGACTGAGGCCCGGAGAGGGAATGCTGTCACTGTCACTTGTCTGGTGTTGTACAGTCTGGTGGTGGAGCGGGTTCTTTTAAGCATCATTTTAGGCCAAATGGGAGGAAAATGAGGTCTGAGGGGAGAGGGTAGGGAATGATATGAAATTGTTTAGATGTTTCTGAGCAGTTAGGGGACCATCACACACACACACACACACACACACACACGGGGACACATAGGAAAAACTTTTATTGCAGGGAGATTTCTGGTAGCAAAAACTGGGAAACAAACCAAACGATAAGCCCGTGCATGGAGAATGGATGCATACATTGTGGTGCAGGCAGGGAGATTTCTGGTAGCAAAAACTGGGAAACAAACGATAAGCCCGTGCGTGGAGAATGGATGCATACATTGTGGTGCCATCAGCCGATAGAGTAGTACACCGCAGGAGAAAGACAGGCCCTCACGTGTCAACAGGGCTGCATCGGAGAAAAAAACATGAAAATGAGAAGATATAGTAGCATGATATGGTTGACTTGTTTTCAAAAGGCAAAACAATGCTGTGTGCTGTTAAGGACATGTGCGTCTGTAGTCAAGGTGCAGACAGACGGGTGCAGGGGAGTGACACCAAGTTCCTGAGAAGGTATCTCTGGCGGAAGCCAGGGGGTCGTGACTGGGAAGGTTACACAGAGGGCTTTGTCTGTCTGGATTTTATGTCTTTTTTTGTTTTATTTCTTAAATTAGGTGGTGGGCCTATGAGTCTTCGTTACACTATCATATACACTGTTTTGCTTGCTTGAAGTATTTCATAAATATTTTTAAAAAGCAACTGTTATGCTCACAGAAGAGCATGGCCTTCAGGAGCCACCATTTCTAGGTTTCAATCTCAGCTCTGCTAGCTGGCTGGTTGCCTGAGCCTCAGTTTCTTCAGTAATCTGGATACAATGCCCCCACCTTGTGAGGCTGTGAGAATATTGGTGTGTTTAGCACAGTTCCTAGGACAAGTTCCTCTTCTCTGGCCAGGAGGCTCCCTCCCCTTTCCTCCAGCGACCCAGGTGTTCTGTCGGGACACTGGTGTATATAGCAGGTCATTAGCCCCTCTTGTAGTTCCTTCTTCTCATGATCCCCCTCCTAAGGAAGAAGCCTGGAATCAGAGGCTGCAGCCCTAGAAATTCATCTCCTGCCTCATCCATCAGTGGCTGAGCGGTTTCCAGGCCCTCGTCTGTCCCCTAGCGGCGGAGAGGCGCAACTGCGGGATTGCTGGCCCCCTTAGGCCTGTCTGGGCATCTGCACCTTCCATCACCCAGCACCTGTGCATGGGAACCAGATCCTTGGTATTTCGTTTTCATGACAACTCTGGGAAATGTCTTCAATATCAGTCGACAAAAGACGCGATTGGGGCCAGAATGAGGAGTGACGTTGGGCCTCATTTCCCTCACTTCCGAGGGACAGTGCACTTAGTAGATAGAGCCTGGGGCTGGAGCCATTACCTGGGTTCAGATACTGGCTTTGCCACTCCCCAGCTATGGAATATCAGACAAATCACCCCACCTGTGACTTACTTTCCCCTTCTTCAAACTGCAGGTGCTTTTTGGCATTTACTTCACAGGGTTGCAGCGTTAATGATACATATTTGCAAAGTGCCTTGCATGTGGTAGGCTGTTTATTCAGAAGTTTCCAGCAGACAACTGAGCTGGGATGACAGTGTAGGATTCTGATTTGGTATTCTTTGAATATCTTGGTCTTAAACAGGGTAACACCGGGTTGATTGGCTGCCTGTGAGATGTGCTGCTGAGCCACAGCACCATCTACATGTGGTACCTCTGGAATCCCTCAGGAGCAAGCAGTGCTACAGGTGAGGATTGGAAGGTTCAGAGCGGGAGTGTTACTCAAGAGTTGCACAGAATTAGGGGCAGAGTTGCCATCTGATCCCAAGTTGATTGAAATTCAGGCTTGGCACTGGAAAGAAGTGGGTGTGATCCCAAGTTACTTGGACTGGGGCCTTGTGCAAGCCAGCTCAGCTTTAGTTCTCCCCAACCAGGCAGGGCTGGTCACATGGGGACAGTAATGGGCCCTTTTCCAGGCTTGCCCATCCCTATGGCTTGATGTGTGCCCACTGGGCACCCTTTGATTCTACCACCCCCACTAGGGGCCCAATCACAGACAGAGCTCCTTGGCATCAAGAGCCCATCACCATGCAGGACCACTGAAGCTATGCCAGGTGACAGCACTCTGCCTCTGTGCAGGCACCAGCTGGCCTCAGCATCCATTACAGCTCTAGGGCAGGCACATCTAAGTCTGTTTCAGAGCAGGGCCATAGCCACAATGCAAAAGTGAAGGCTCAGGCAGGACTACTCTGCCCATGCAGGCCAGGAAAGCAAGTGCATACCAGGCACACAGCTCAACCAGAGCTGTAAGAGCCACAGGGTGTCAGGGTTCTGTTCCTGTCCACTTCCTTCCAAGGAAACATCTCAGTACAACCCCCCTGCCCCTCCCGTGTTCCAGCAGGAGAGAGTGCCACTTCAGCAACCCAGACTCCAGCTGGGGCCACTGCTTGAACAGCATCTTCTTTCAGTTTCTCATTTTCTGAGAATTGCAAAGGCAGGATATGAGGGAGGTCCAAGGGTTTCTAGGTCCTGCCCCGCCCAACCCAGGCGTCTTGCCCCTTGGGGGCAGAACTGGGAAGGCTGAGCTTTAGGCTTTGGCAGCCACAGCCACCCAGGGACTCCTGGCTCCTTCTTCCTCATGCCTCCAAATGGAAGAGCAAACAATCAAGAGACCAAGACCAAGATTATAAATGAGGCAATTTATTAACCCAGCACTTGTTCTAATGCTTCTTGTTGGCAGCTGCCACCTGTGGGAAAGATGGAAGAGTAAGTTAAGATCAGTCACGGGGTCCATGTTCCGGCACTTTGTAAGTTACCCACAGCCCAGACACCATGCATCCTGTTTTGTGGTCTCACATGTATTCTTGTCTAATCCTCACAACCCCAGGTACCTCCCCATTTTACAGAAGCATCAACAGGCACTCAAGAGCGCTGGAGTGGGATTCCAATACTGCAAATGCCATCATACACACTGATGCCTGTGCCAGGCCCTGTGTTCACCTCTCCTCTCAGGCCACCCAACTCTCAGAGGGCAACACCTTCCATTCCTTTCTGACACTTGACGTTAAGTGACTAAACACTCCAAGGCTCCTAGTAGGCCTGAGTCAATGATACAGAAAGAAGGAAACCAATATGGGTTTATATGCCAGGCCCTGGGGGGCTCCCACTGCTTGTAGATCATGGAATCCTAACCACCACCCCAAGGTAGGCAGGAGCAGATTGCTCCACAGATTGGGAGACTGGCTGCAGCCGAAGAACTGCAGGGTGTGCAGCCAGTCATCAGGATGGAGACCTGAATTCTGAGCCAGCCCGCCTCCCTCTCTCAGCAACCACCCCATATCATGCCCAGTCAGCATGAAGAGTAAGGAGACGTTGATGCCAGAATCTGTGCAAGGCTGATGCCCTGCAGGAAAAGCAGCCCAACTGCACCATGGGGTTGGGTTCCCCTTACCTCAGCTCCAGCAAGCCGTCATTCAGAAATGCCTTTTTCCTGCCCACCCCCAGAGAAGGCCTCCTCTGAACCCCCTCCAGCCTGGACAGTGCCCTTCAGGGAAATTTTGATTTGACAACCCCCAGGCCTGGGGGAATGCCCAGGCAGTGACAGAGGGACCCAACCCTAGCCCTCACCCAGGCCTCACCTGCCCTGCGATCCTGTCCAGATCTCTCTGTCCCTGAGGTGTCAATTTGCGGCCCCTGGGGAGAGAAGGGTCATGAATCCCTCCCAGGGTAGTGCAGGCTCTCAACCCCCCTTCCAGATGTGAGTCAGGCTTCCCCAAAAGGCACCTGGCCACACGACCATATGCTGCCAGCCAACTCCCACTGAGGACCCCAGTGGGCTGCATTCTAAAGAGCTTGGGGCAGGAGTGGGAGCCCCCCCGGGAGCTGACAGGGTGTCGTTTGTGCAAGCATTAGATCAAAAGCCCCGAAAAATCAATTGGGCAAAGTTAACGAGCAGGCTAATGAAAGCGGACAGTCGCTAAATTACCTTCCTGGAGCCCAGGGTAGTCAGTTAGAGAGGTGGGAGTGAGGCCTTTAGCTTTTCTACAGAATCCCCTGCCCACCAGAGGGTCAGGTACAGACAGTGCAGAGACCTAGCTCCTCTCTGCGTGTGGGCAGTGGGGACGGCCCTCGCTAACTTTATTATAGGTGGCCTGACCCCAAGGCTCCTCATCACCCCCCTTTCCCACCCATCCTGATCCTTTGCTTACCCATCCTGATCCTTTTCCACCATTTTCAGCCCCTCCAGGGCTTGGAGGACTCTGCGGGCCACGCTCTTAGAGCCTCTGCTAAAGTGGCTGGGCATGACACCATTTCTCTGTCGTCCTCCATAGATCTTGGTCATGGAGCCAACCCCAGCGCCTCCCCGAAGGTACAGGTGCCGCGCTGTGGAAGCTGGGTGGAGTGAGAGGGAAACTTAAGGGCCCTTCTCAGGCAGAGAATACTCTTCCCCACAGCTGAGGGAAAGGCCTTGCCACACATAGTCTGTGTGTGGCAGCCAACTCACCATTTTATAGCCAGGGCAACTGTGCACACACTAAAACCCGGTGCCCCCCTCTCCCACCATGGCCAACCCATGCTGCACTCTGGGCCCAGCCTAGGAGACAGGGGCAGCCAGGCAGTGGAGGGACTGCCAAAGCCACACTGCTAAGGCTAGACCTGAAGACTGTAGATAGAGCCTTGCAAATGTTTAAGCCACAACTGTCCACCTCCATATGCCTGAGGGGCAGGAGAGTGAAGGGACCTACTGCCACTTGAGTGCAGCTCTCTGAGCCCTCAGCCCGAGAGCTTGGGGTGGGGGGAAGGGGGTCAGGACTAAGATCCATGCAGTGGATGTTCCCAACCTGGCATGTCTATCACCCCCTCCGTGGACACGGGGATTACTCTCCCTAGATGGGCTTGGTTAAGTCCCTGGCCAGCCTCCTTGGAAGTGCTCACTCCTATTCATGCGGAGCACTCAGTTGTCTGCCAGCCCTGTGCATCTGCTTTCACGTTCTCCCATGAGATACTAAGATGCCTAAGGAGCTGGCCTAATGTTGTGGCCCTAGCAAGTCACCTACCCTCATCCAAAAACCAGGAGTAACTGTCCCTCAGATGAGGGTTATTGCGAGGACTCCATGCAAATGTGTCAAGTGCTGTCGTCCTCTGCAGAAAGGAAACAGGCTCCAAAGGGTACTCACTGGCTTCATGCCACAGCTCTGGAGGGACAGCTCCTCCAGACTGTTTTGGTTTCCTACCTCAGGGGGCCACTGAGGTTTAAAGGCATTGCAGCTGAGGTGCACAAAGTGCCCAGACTTCAGTCATCACATGGCCCTACCTGGCTGGGAGCTGAAGGGCAGTGACGCCAGGCCACCCTAGACCCTGGAGACGTACTGCTACGAAGCAGGTACCGGGCCATGTCCATGACCCTCCAGTGTTATGAACTAGGGGTGGGTGAGATGGATCTGTGGGGTGAGCTCCGCCTCCCCTCCAGCTGCCGCTCCCGGAGCATTCTTCCACGCCACTTGTTCCCAGCCCTCCAATTGCCTCAAACAGCCATGGGCTTCTGGGGGTCAAGAGCACAGCCTCTCTGTGGTCTCACTGTCTCTGGCCTCTGCTCACTTAAAAACCACTCTCTCCTTGGTCCTTTCTACCCCAACCTTCCCCTCACCCTACCCCTATACTACTGCCCTGACCCTCTTCCAGGCATTAAGCCACCCGCCCTGTGGATTAAGAGACTCACTTGGTATACTCAATACCCACCTGCCCTGACCCTCTTCCAGGCATTAAGCCACCCGCCCCCTGTGGATTGAGAGACTCACTTGGTATACATCAATACCCATAATCTTTCTACTGTGAGTGACATCACTGGAAAACTCCACCCTTATTGCCAGTGCAAATGCCTAACACCCACCACCATCCCTCCGGCGCCTGTCCCTGGGCAGAGACCTGCTTTCTCACCCAGGCTGGGGAGAGGACGTCTCAGGAAGGGGGCAAGGTGAACATTCCTAAGACGCCCAGAGGCTGCACACCTGAAAGGAGATGCCCAAACTTGGCCTTGCCTAGCCAGGATTGGCGCTGACTAGTCCCAGCCTGGGGTCCATATGGAGAGGGTGGCCCAGCTCTGAGCTGTCCAGTAGACAGTGTTTGAATTTCAACACTGCTCATCAGTCTGCCTACTTTCCAGGTTTGTGTGGTGGTACTGAAGCGGATGGCTTACTTCAATCTTGAGTAGTGACTGTCAGAGAATAAGCTCCCATAAAGCCTATTAGTTTCTTTATGGAGGGTGGTGGTTTACATTTCCTTAACACTGTGTAAAATTATCTGGCCTGCTGTCAGATGTTACAAGGCCCTCACCATCACCCCAGTTTGCAATAATTCTCATGACTTAATAGGAAGATTAACTTCACAAATTGGAAGCTTTAACCATTGAAATACTGAGTTCTACAAAATACGGATTTTTTTTCACTCTTGAGCCCTTGTGGCCCCAGCCCCAACCACACAAACCCAGGTGTTGTCACAAATGGCTTCTCCTTTAGTCCCCTCCAATGGCCTTCTGCTCCTCCTGATCCTTAGGAAACCTTGTCACTACTGCCAGCTGTGAAGGAGGGACCAGGCAGGGCCCCCTACACACGGAGCCCAGTCAAAGTAGAGCAGGTAAGTGTCCTGCTAGGCCACTAGGTAGGACACACGCTGCACTGAGCACATGGCAGATCAAAGGAAGCCTTCCCAGATGCATTTTGTCCTTGACCCTTCTCTGCTAAATTTCTAAAGGGGGGGGGGGGGGGGGAGAGAAAGGGAATGACTTCCCTGACCTTGATCCACCCCTTGAATTTTTCCTGCAATGTCTACAAGGCCCCGTTCTGGGATAGGACAGACCAACCTCCAACCTATAATAAAAAATGCACTCAGGCCTTAACTGATTTGGCTCAGTGGATAGAGTGTCGGCCTGCAGACTGAAGGGTCCCAGGTTCGACTCCGGTCAAGGGCATGTACCTTGGTTGCGGGCACATCCCCAGTAGGGGGTGTGTAGGAGGCAGCTCATTGATGCTTCTCTCTCTTTCTCCCTTCCTCTCTCTCTCTCTCTATAAAAAAAAATCAACAAAATATATTTTTTAAAAAAATGCACTCAGGCCGAAACCGGTTTGGCTCAGTGGATAGAGCGTCAGCCTGCAGACTGAAGGGTCCCGGGTTCGATTCCGGTCAAGGGCATGTACCTGGGTTGCGGGCACATCCCCAGTAGGAGATGTGCAGGAGGCAGCTGATCGATGTTTCTCTCTCATCGATGTTTCTGACTCTCTATCTCTCTCCCTTCCTCTCTGTATAAAATCAATAAAATATATTAAAAAAAAAAATGCACTCAGGTGTCCCACCTTAGCAGCTGCTCACTGCCAGATGTCTTGTTCAGGGCTACACTGCACCACCCTCTTCACGGGTGGTCTTCCCTCGACACCATTCCTCCTCTTACAGGTCTCCACTCTCCTGACACAGGCTTTCTAGCCCTATCTCACCCTCACCCCCCACCACTGCCTGGGGACTCCTTCCTCTTATAGCTCTGCCCTTCTTCTAGACCACCCTCAGGAGGGCCCTGCCCACTCCACCCTGGCTCCTACACACCTCCAGAACTTATACCCCCCACCACTGCCACAAGACTGAGGGGCAAAATAGGCCAAGCCCCCATGATCCAGAAGAGAATAGCACAGACCCTGCTGTGCCCCCTGGTAAACGAGCATCTCCAGTGACTTCCACTTGTACAGAGAATAAGCTGACCACCAAACTAGGCGGGAGCACTCTAGACCAGTGATGGCGAACCTATGAACTCATTTTTTTGGTTAATTTTTCTTTGTTAAATGGCATTTAAATATATAAAATAAATATCAAAAATATAAGTCTTTGTTTTACTATGGTTGCAAGTATAAAAAAATTTCTATATGTGACACGGCACCAGAGTTAAGTTAGGGTTTTTCAAAATGCTGACACGCCGAGCTCAAAAGGTTCGCCATCAATGCTCTAAACTCTAGAAGAGAGGTTGGCAAACTTTGTAAAGGGTCAAACAGCAAGTATCTTAGGCTCTGTAGGCTGTCACAACTGCAACTCTGCCTCTGCTGTGGATGAACAGATGGGCTTGGTTTAATCCCCAAGAAATATGCACACAACCACCCTTCGTCTAGAACAGGGGTGGGCAAACTTTTTGACTCGAGGGCCACAATGGGTTCTTAAACTGGACCGGAGGGCCGGAACAAAAGCATGGATGGAGTGTTTGTGTGAACTAATATAAATTCAAAGTAAACATCATTACATAAAAGGGTACGGTCTTTTTTCTTTTTTAGTTTTATTCATTTCAAACGGGCCGAATCCGGCCCGTGGGCCGTAGTTTGCCCACGGCTGGTCTAGAACCATCACCCTATGCCAATAGGGCAGCTGGGAGAGGAAGGTAAAAAAGAGAGTTTGGGCCAAAACCGGTTTGGCTCAGTGGATAGAGCGTCGGCCTGCGGACTGAAGGGTCCCGGGTTCGGTTCCGGTCAGGGGCATGTACCTGGGTTGCGGGCACATCCCCGGTGGGAGATGTGCAGGAGGCGGCTGATCGGTGTTTCTCTCTCATCGATGTTTCTAACTCTGTATCTCTCTCCCTTCCTCTCTGCAAGAAGTCAATAAAATATATTAAAAAAAGAGAGTTTGGGAAACCCTAAGGAAACCCTCCTGGGACCAGGAGGGAAGGCAGAGGACACACCCCAGTGGGTGGAAGGGGCATGTTGGGCAGAAACTGGCCACAGCAAAATGAAAATTACACAAGGCCTTGACCCAATTTTCCATTAGTCTCTTCCGCCTAAAAAATAAAGTATGAAATCCTGCCAGGGAAAAGATGAAGCTCCCCTGCCCCATGACAGGGTGAGGAAAACTGGCAGACCCTCAACATGTTACTTAACCTCCCCGACATCAATTATTAAACCGAAAGCACCAGTCCTGTTTGGGAAATTTTTGATAGGTGCAGATTAAAATGGGAAAGCTATGATTCTTTGTCCTAATCTTAGATCCAAAGCTGTCCTGACTCTTGGGGCATTGGCAAAGAACATTCAGGACCAGGTAGCTTTACTTCCCAAGATGGACGTGGTTTTGTCCAGGCCCTATCACTGTTGTTTGCCCAGCAAAGTCAAGTCAGCTTCTCTTCACCAACACTTCCCACCTCACAAAGTTGACCTTTTAGCCCTCAGGGGTCAAAGGTTATGGCCGAGTCATATTGGCACGTGTGTCCAGGCTAGGGCCTGAAATACAGTGACATCTGATGCATGAGTAATCCACAAAATACATGCAAGGCCATTCTGAAGTTTTATCAATTTCAAAACTCTGCTTTCCACCAATTTCCCATATGGAGGCAAGCTTTGGCCTGGATGGAGCTCCCACTTCAGAGGAGGAAGGATGGGGTGACAGTTTGGAGAAACTTGGAATGTCAAGAACAGGTGAGAACTAGCACTGTGAAGTCAGGGGTTACACTTGCAATCCGTCCAAGTTGCAAGTTACTGTAAGATTAATGAGAAGGGGCTGGCAAATGATCACAGGGCGACCATAGGTTTTCTTCTGAGCATTTGGGACTCAAGATTTAGAGCAAAGAGTGACCTGGCTAGATTGCCAACCACTTAGGAATAACTTGCTAGAGACAGGGAGGCACTAGTGTGATGACCTGAGCAATAAAAAGAAAACAGCTGACTTTTCTTCAACGATTACTCTCCAACAGGCAAGCATATTTTAAAGCAGTTTGTTATTAGGCTAATTTGATCCAACAATAATTGGCACTGACACATTATTAACCCCATTTTAGAGATAGAAAACCAGAACACACTGGCAGATGGAGGTCACAAATTAAATGTAGAGGAGGATTTTAACTCGGGGAGTCTGGACCCCATGGACATAAAGATAATGCCTGCCTCTCAAACAAACCACCTCTAAGCAAAATATGAACATCCATTTGTCCCTGGGTTTCCCTGGAGGATCAGAGGAAGCCACAGGGTCCTCACACACACCTCTTACAAAGGAAGAAACAGAGCCAGGGTAGGAAGTTATTGAACATCACACAAAGCATGCAGTGACAGAGTCAGTCTCTTGCAATCTGCGGGGAGAGGGAGGCAAATAAGAGCTCACAGAGGGGACGGGAGGAGGATCTGTGCCAGGGGTCACCTGTCTCCCCACTACCCAGCTAGATGCCCCAGTTCCTACCAGCTCGTGTGTAGAACCAATTCTCATCGTAGGGAGCAAGCTCTTTATGCTTGGCCAGCTTGACAGTGTCCACCCATTCAGGGACTTTCAGCTTCCCGGACCTGGGATCAAGACAGCAAGAAAGGTACAATTCACCGGTCTCCACACCCCCTCATCCCCTCTCCTCCACAGGACTGTGCGTTAACAGGAGCTGGACGTGTCCGAGCATAAGCAAGCTGAAACTCAAACACAACCCAGGCCTCAGGTGGAAAGGGGGACTCCACGCTGAGGCCCTCCAACAACTCTCCCCCCTACCAGAAGAGGGCGCTGCGGACCGAGGGGCCAGCAAAGACCACAGCCGCCAGCCACCGCGAACCCGTCCCCACACTCACTTTTTGAGGAAGGCTGCCAGAGCTCTGACGAACTCCTGCTGGTTCACGTCTTTTACAGTAACTCCGGGCATCTGCGGGAAGGACCACGCATGTGAACACGAGCTGGTGGGGACCATTCACAGGGGCTGGGGCCGAGCCCCAACGCGACCTGTACTGCCGCCCTCCCCGGATTTCCCAAGGCCCTACTTCAAGTCCGGGCTGGCGGTCCTAGAGTTCACCGGCGCCCACGACCACAGCCCGACCGCATTTGTGCAGACGCTGTATGACCCTAGTCCCTGACTCTGGGGTCCCGCACTCCCGGCTGCCCCCGGGCCCAGTCTCGCTTCCCGGA